GGTATCCGCAAGTCTGTAGCGCTCAGCTAGCCGGCCTCTTCGAACGCTTCAGAAGGATCACTATGTCTTCGGGTTTATTCCTAATGTTGGTATTAGAAGAGCCCCGCACTCAGTGGTTTGCGATTTTTCCCGGCTGCCATACACCTGCAAATGGCCATCGTTTTGTTGGCTGGGGAGGGGAGATGATGTAGGGCAAAGAGCTCCTCTAAGTGTATGATCAAATGAGGACTTGTGAGGGGGGGTACTGTTTGAGGGGATCTTTATAGGAGGCATAGGAGGGGATGTACTACTGGTATAGGTATCCTTGGCCTGTAGGCAGAGAGGACCTGCATGTCCTACATACATATACACATCTATTTCAAAAATAATTGCTCTGTATTACAAAAGTATACATCGAAGCCCTCAGTATGGCTCGCAACTAAAATGAAAGCGTACTACATGTTTTGTGTGTCTTCTCCATCCTAATGCTTTGTGTATCCTCCATTTGCCTTTATCGCTGCTACACATCTTTCGTGCATGCTGTCAACTAATGAAAATAGCTCCTCAGAGGGTAAAGAGTCCCATGCATCCTGTAGCAATGTCTTCATCGTGGCAGAGCGCACAAGCCTGACTCCATTTATCTCAGGACTATTTACTTGAATGTGATTTTTGAAGGTATTCCACAATGACTCGATCGGGTTCAGGTCCGGAGAGTAAGGTGGCCATCTAATAGGCGTTATTCCGACTTCACGCAGCGCCTCAATCGTTGAGTACGCTTTATGACATGGTGCATTGTGGTGCATGTATAGAATTTCAGGCTTTTCCACATGAAATTGATTCAAAAGAGGCAATATTCTTTGGGAAAAGGATGAGGCCCTCATTGATCCCCAATCCTTCTCCCAGACTAGGGATGGAACTTTTTGTGATCCATAAAATGATTCCCAAAACATTCGGCTGTTCCGATGAGTATGGAGAGCCACAATACAAGCCTTTTCAAACTCATCATCAGGTTAAACTCTGCTGTTAGTACAAGGAAGATTTTGATCGAATTTATACGTACTTTTCTTGTGGCACGAGGTTTCATATGAGAATCACCTGATACCCAGGTTTCATCAAACCATAGTATACGACTCCATTATTCATCGCTCAAATCTAAATGGGCGAACTCCAATCTTTTCTTCTTGTTCACCACGCTTAACGGAGGCTTCTTCCGAGCAATACATCTGCTGTAACCTCTTTTTTTGAGGGCAATAGAAATTAACCCCTCACTGTATCCCTTGTGGCTGAAAGGTCCCATTGCTAGTTTCAAATAGCACATCTGTCAATTATCAGGAGATTCCCGGACAAAAGCCTTAGGCCCATCAACTTTTTCCGCGCTTAATTTGTGTGAGCATCCTTTGCGAGGCATAGGATTCTCAGTCTCTCATGCACACGCAAGTTGCACTTGCCTTGTTGTGAAGCCAAGTTCGTCGGATATATGTTGTAATGTCAAGCAAAGTCTTCTTAATGCTCTTATTTCAATTCATTGATCGCGAGTTGGATGCTTGCGAACTTTAGTTTCTGTAGCAGACTTTTTGAGAGACAGTGTATGCCGGAATAGAGGATGAATCGATGGTGGTGAGAAGTTTCAATGACGGTGTAGGCTTGGCAGCCAAAAATGTCGTTGAAAATGTGTTTTACTAAGCGATTATTAGAAGAAGACGATTGGACCATACTTCATGGCGAGCGGGGTAAGGAGGAGAGACATACTAACCTATTACGAGCTAGCCCAACTGCGCCTACAGGGCTAATCCCTTCAACGACCCAGTTTGAAGTTTTACCTTTTGGAACCTAGAGGCACTGTATATATACACGTGTCACACCCCAGTCACTAATTACCAGACCCCGCACTGCCATAGACACCATCAATCTCCGCTATCCATCACAATCCTCAGGATCAATATGAGTTACTATTATACGGTATGTTTGTACGGGCCGACATCAAGATAAAAATGCTAACATTTGTGTTTGTGTTTATTGTACTGCTTGATTTTATGACTATCTAGCAAATGGGGCTCCTCTCTGACCCAGGCCACACCTTGTAAAGTGCTCCTATCCTCTTTTGTTACTCGAAAGATCATTGGTACATTCCCCCTGATGAATAGCTATTCAGCTCAGTGTTTACCAGTGGAATTAGGCCACCTTTTCCACGAAACCTTCTACCCAAAAAAAATAAAAATGGTAGCAATGGAAACTGCGTGCGCGGGGAAAAGTCTCAAAAAACCTGCAGCCTCAGCCAGGCGAGACCTAGACACCGGGACCACATGAGGTGCGCATATTCATCTATATCTCCCTTCTTTGTAACAGTTGAGGTCGACTTGATCCAATCCACCATCTCTGCATCGGGTGCTGGGTACTCTCCGGAAACTCATCAGATGGCTTTTCCTCCATGATCAAGGGTTGGTGATCAGTAGGGCTCCGACCCTACCATCTGATCTTATCGTGGTTAGCTTCATGATAGTGGTGATAGGGGGATGTGTTGAGAGATGAAGACGATACAGACCGCGAAAGCGATTGCGAATCCTCTTCGAAGTGAGGACTTTGTTACTCAATCTCGGCTCTGCAGACTCTACAGTGAGAGCTGGAGATTCGTAGGAGACAATTCTCAACACCTGTCAGCGATGTCCCCCTAATATACACGTGTATGCGTACGCAATGGGTCTTTCGATGCTGTGATGATTATTCTTCTTGTTCTTCTTAGATACAGGAGTGTCAGCTATAAGGGTGACATGCTTAGCGGCACCAATCTGCATGACTATAAACATATTGTAATCGCTCTCCTGGCTCATGTGCATCCAAGAACAGTTTTGCGACATAAAGAACTGTTAGACACTCAAGAGTCTAGGGCACTCAAACTATTCACATGCAGAAGACTGGAACAATAAAAATTGGATAACCTTGTATGTAGCAGGTATTAGAATATGCAGTCCTAATGGAGTGCACATCCTACAATAGTCTTAGACTTATAGAAGATGTAAATGGATTTAAAAAAAAAAAAAAAAAACTGTTAGACACTAAGGGTCAAATGAAAGATGTAAAGTAAAGTTGTATTGATGAAATCTCTGCTCCTCAACTCCTCTCCAGCAGTGATGCTATATACCCATCTGAAAATATATTGCGGAGAGATTATCTTCTCCTCGTTTCCCAAAATTACATATGAAATTTATTACTTGTGTTGAAGATCAAAAGATCTCAAGTCAGAGCTTCGACTATCCTGAACATCCTAGTCATCCTGATCACCATATCCCTGGTGAGATATCAACGCTCGAGTTGGTTAATCTGACAAGATGTGTCATCCCACTATCCAATGATTCTCATTACCTTATTCAGTAGGTTCCAAACCATCCGATGTTTGACAAGAACATTAAGTTATTAGTATTGTGAGGTTATGGATCGTAGAGGAATGCTCGAATTGTATAGGGAGGTGAAGGATATATGCCGAACCACGAAGCAGTTGAATAGAGCTTAAGGGTGAAGCTTGTTAGGGTGACACGAGGAGGGTATGAATTGACCTTCAGAGATGTTCAGCAAATGTAATGAACTGAGGATTTCTGAAGGAGAAGAACACTACATTTATATATACAGGAATTAGTCCTACTGAGACGAATTTAGAAATAAGCCAGGATATACGCCCATGTCCCAGTATGGCGACGTTATCATGGTGAAGGTATGTCTTGACAAACAGTAGACCCCCAAGCTACCTGAGTATAAGACAGAATCATGCGTATACCATAATTTCCAACATATCTTGTGTTAAGCGCCAAGACTAATTAATGTTACAGAGTTTTAGAATAAGATTCTTGTATACAAGTGGTACGAAAGTACTGGAAGTAGAATTGATAAAGTATTGAGTTAATCTATTGTGTATTATTCTCGCAATTGCAGCATCTTCAATGCTGCGATCCTTCTCCTATTAGCATGTGTCTGCCAGCCTCGTCTAGACGCTAATACGGAAATAATAATACAGGGTATCTAAGATCTCCAAACGCCTTACCCTCTATACTCCTAAGTCAGAAATAAATACAACCATAACTTCATTATGTTCAGGTACAGGAATGATTATGTTTGACCAACAATCTTATAATTCAACACAGAAAATAGATGTGGCGCAGTATTAAATGATACAAATAACGGAAACGAAAACGAGATAGCACATGACTAGTGTAACAGATGCAGGACTGTTAGAATTACAACAATTAGATCATTCGATACTTTTATTTGACTTGTCGTAGTCTAAGCAAAACAAGGATCGTCAGTTGTGTAAGGACAATCACCTCGTAGTGGTGTTTGCAGATGAAATACAGAGAGCAGATACCTCAATTGTCAATCAAGTTATCCAACGTTTACACCTTGCACTGGTTATGTGTTATAAATATGAAGCTGTTAAGCAGAATTTCCTTTTGTTTGTGTAACATGTTAGTGAATTTGTGATTACATATTCTGATGAATTTGCAAGATAGTATTCACTTGAGTTATGTATCATAGTTAGTGGAAAGCCGGGAAGGGAGAAGATATTTACCGGAGGCCGAGTCAGCTTTGGGAATTCCGATGAAAGAGATTTAATGTCATCAGTTCCTGATATGGGGTCGACATTGACAAAGCATTTAAAATTCAAGAAGTCTTGACGAAGGACAAAGGGTGAGATCAGAGTTTGAGGGATGTGATGTATGTACATAGAGGAGAGACATAGCTTGTGGGACACGCACAAAGACTTCTTTTCTCAAACATCCTGACTGAGTCTATTTGAGTGACAGAAGCTAAATACAAGTTTAGTGAAATCCGAAATAAAATCGCCTTAATTTCACGCAAGTTCAATAAAATGTAAATTTCATGTTCATCATTAACTATTACTTGATGTGAGGAGAAATGATGCCTATTTGGAGGGCATAAAATTCATATCCTAAGTTTCCAACCTAGGGCCATGTGGAACTATTACCAACTGTTGGGCAGTGTCTCAAATCCTTTGAAGCAAGGAATAAGTTTTATTTTCGACGCGATTTGAAGATTTTGTTTTCGATTTTTCCACCTAAAACATGGATAATTTGTTAGTGAAACTCGGGTCAAAAGAATGGGTCTTTCATGAAGTCAAAATCATATCTTACCTTTGATATCCTCGACAGTTTTGTCCAATGCCTTGATCATTCTATCATATAAAGGTCCACAGTCTACAGGCGTTTCAATATATCTGCCGTCATTATGAAACAAAATTTGTCGCAGCTTCTCGGCTAGTTCCTTGACTCCTTTGAAACTGGTCGTGAATTTCTTGAGAATTTCTTGGTCAAAATTTTGGACACCATAACTTTTGTTTATGAAGTTGTTTTCCACCTCGTTAGTGCACCAACGATCTAGATTCTTAGCCTTGTCCACAGATACGTCTTCATATTCTATGCATCCAACAATGAACACATAGAAAAATGACTCCAGATCATGACGACAAGTGCGTCCAATAGACTTTCCTGTGTCACGAGCGTGCTGCAATCTCTCAAGCGCCATGAACTTCATAGTGCCCGTCAGAGACCGATCATCTTCCAATGCCACATTTCCTTTCATCTTGACCGAATGATCTAGGTCAATCAACATCCCGTATAAGTCTTCCTCTGGAGATGGCTTCAACAGGATTATATTTCCTTCAGAAACATCTCCATGAAGAATCTCTTTACCCACCAGTCCCTCGTGTCCTTTGATGGCATCTCGAATTCCGGCAACAAAATCAAGGATTGACCCACTGGAGTAAATAGCTCGGCCGCGTGGTGTCATGGCTATTCTGGTTAGCCGGCGATTTCTCTTCAAGGATTGTTTTGGTGCTCCCGTTAACTTAATTCCCTTGGAGATGAACTTTTCGCCAGCATTTAATTTCCAGGGCAGAGCTTTGGAAAGATTCAGGTTGTGTAGGTGACTTTTGGTCTCATATACGATCTCTGTCGCAAGGCAATTTACGACACCTCGTACTGATTTAGCAATATTCAGAAAGTTAACTTCGGTATTTTCTTCTGAACTGCTCCAAGAGTACTTGATCACTCTTAATTCGTCTTTTGACTCATAGCAAGTAGTACCTCGAGTAATCAGTCTCATCGGTTGTACAATGGGCTTAGATTTAATATTAAATGATGGGCCCGGAACCTCTACACTTCCGGGGAACTGGACAAAATTATCTGCTCCATTTTGAATGATGGAAGTGTCACGTCCTAGTTCTTCATCGCTCATCAGTAGATAAGAGCTTATTGCTCGGACAAACATCTTCTTGTCACGAACAATGTGTTTTGGACCAGAGCTGTAGGCACCCGAGCGATCAAAAACCCAGAGCTCAAATTCTTCTTCGAACAAGCAGAAACCATGTAAAAACCGACGCAATGGCTGAGCACAAAACACCTCTCGAACACACCTTGATAATTGCAAAAACTTTTTTTTCCTTATGTCAACCATAGGTGTTATGGTGAACTCACCCAGCACATTAATGTTCTCCCAATCAGCGGGACCGTCCTTGGGCAAGTCGATGCTTTTGACCAGGAAATCAATTTGTGTCTTGCCAGTTGATTGTATTGCGCGTCCTGTGACTTTCGTCCGACAACACTGTCCTTTTATCTGGACGAAAGGCTCTTCAATGACTATGGGATAATCTTTCGATGGTTCTGGTGAAGGACCTTTGAGCTGATTTAAAAATGTTTCACTGAAGAAATTGAGCCAATCCCATACCTCCCTTTCTTTCATGTGTACTTCCAGAATCTTCTCTTCTTTTGCGATATGCAAATTTTCCATATCACGAATGTAATCTGGCTCTTTCGACTTCTTGAGTTCCTTTGATCTTTCCTTCTTTTCAGCCTTCTCGTACTTTTGGTAGCTTTCCCAAATGCGGGAGGTCTGTTCAGACCAACCTTTATTTTCGAAGAAAACTTTCCAGAAATTGGTGATATTAAAGAATACGTTTGTGTCAAGATCACCTTTCATGACATTTTCTAGTTGCAATGCTGTCCTGTCAAAATCTGGTGCTTCTGAATTATTTTTTGTATATGTTGTATGACTCTCTGACGGGACCAATGAAGTTTGACCTTTCGATTCCTCGTTAATTGCAGTGATGGCTAACGCTAAAATATACTGCTCGTCCATATTTTCGAGAATAGCGGTAGCAAGATTTGCGAAATATAGGAATTCGATTGTTTCTGCATGGATACGGACCGAGGTCTGACGGAATGAAATATAGAGTTGATACATGTTGTTATTACTTCTTTCGGAACGTATGTGATTGCTTAGATCATCATAAAATTCAAAAAGTGCTGTAAAGTTAGCATGACGCTTTGTGAATGACCATGGAATGATTACCCGAATGATAGCCTGTTGTATCAAATTCATCTCGGAAATTCTGGAGAATATGCGGAATGGGATTCTCAGAAAAGTGTTCGAGAATATCACTAAGTTGAAACATGTTGCAATGTAAGGTTGTGAGTTGTTTGGTGTGGAAGAATTTGATGATAGATAATGAATGAAGAGTGAAATGCGAGGCTCAATTGTGGCCTTTTGTTACGGCCTCGCCTTAACCTGGCCCTAGATACAATAGCGTGAGTACATGTCGTACGTGCACGTTGGTATATAGTCCCTGTCCGTCTCTGCAGTGCCTCTAGGTTGGAGAAAGTAGAACTTGAAACTGGGTTATTGAAGGGATGAGCCCTGTAGGCGCAGCTGGGCTAGCTTGTAACAGGTTAGTATGGTTCAATTGTCTTGTTCTAACAATCGTTAGAGAGATACATTTTCAACGACATTTTTGTCTGCGCATCCCTTCGTCAACAACACCTTTGTCTGCGCATCCCTTCGTCAACAACACCACTATCAATTCATCCTCTATTCCGGCATACACTGTCTCTCAAAAAGTCTGCTACAGAAACTAAAGTTCGCAAGCATCCAACTCGCGATCAATGAATTGAAATAAGAGCATTAAGAAGACTTTGCTTGACATTACAACATATATCCGACGAACTTGGCTTCACAACAAGGCAAGTGCAACTTGCGTGTGCATGAGAGACTGAGAATCCTATGCCTCGCAAAGGATGCTCACACAAATTAAGCGCGGAAAAAGTTGATGGGCCTAAGGCTTTTGTCCGGGAATCTCCTGATAATTGACAGATGTGCTATTTGAAACTAGCAATGGGACCTTTCAGCCACAAGGGATACAGTGAGGGGTTAATTTCTATTGCCCTCAAAAAAAGAGGTTACAGCAGATGTATTGCTCGGAAGAAGCCTCCGTTAAGCGTGGTGAACAAGAAGAAAAGATTGGAGTTCGCCCATTTAGATTTGAGCGATGAATAATGGAGTCGTATACTATGGTTTGATGAAACCTGGGTATCAGGTGATTCTCATATGAAACCTCGTGCCACAAGAAAAGTACGTATAAATTCGATCAAAATCTTCCTTGTACTAACAGCAGAGTTTAACCTGATGATGAGTTTGAAAAGGCTTGTATTGTGGCTCTCCATACTCATCGGAACAGCCGAATGTTTTGGGAATCATTTTATGGATCACAAAAAGTTCCATCCCTAGTCTGGGAGAAGGATTGGGGATCAATGAGGGCCTCATCCTTTTCCCAAAGAATATTGCCTCTTTTGAATCAATTTCATGTGGAAAAGCCTGAAATTCTATACATGCACCACAATGCACCATGTCATAAAGCGTACTCAACGATTGAGGCGCTGCGTGAAGTCGGAATAACGCCTATTAGATGGCCACCTTACTCTCCGGACCTGAACCCGATCGAGTCATTGTGGAATACCTTCAAAAATCACATTCAAGTAAATAGTCCTGAGATAAATGGAGTCAGGCTTGTGCGCTCTGCCACGATGAAGACATTGCTACAGGATGCATGGGACTCTTTACCCTCTGAGGAGCTATTTTCATTAGTTGACAGCATGCACGAAAGATGTGTAGCAGCGATAAAGGCAAATGGAGGATACACAAAGCATTAGGATGGAGAAGACACACAAAACATGTAGTACGCTTTCATTTTAGTTGCGAGCCATACTGAGGGCTTCGATGTATACTTTTGTAATACAGAGCAATTATTTTTGAAATAGATGTGTATATGTATGTAGGACATGCAGGTCCTCTCTGCCTACAGGCCAAGGATACCTATACCAGTAGTACATCCCCTCCTATGCCTCCTATAAAGATCCCCTCAAACAGTACCCCCCCTCACAAGTCCTCATTTGATCATACACTTAGAGGAGCTCTTTGCCCTACATCATCTCCCCTCCCCAGCCAACAAAACGATGGCCATTTGCAGGTGTATGGCAGCCGGGAAAAATCGCAAACCACTGAGTGCGGGGCTCTTCTAATACCAACATTAGGAATAAACCCGAAGACATAGTGATCCTTCTGAAGCGTTCGAAGAGGCCGGCTAGCTGAGCGCTACAGACTTGCGGATACCTCGGGAAATTCACACTCTACCTTTCTAGCCTCCTTCCAACTCCTTCCCGAAGGTCGTGCCGAAATGTCAGAAAAGTCTTGACAGAGCGTGATTGCTATATAGTAGCTTAGCCTAGCTTCTTTTGTACCGTCCAGGGCGCTGGGGAGTGCCGTTGACTCATTGATAGAAGAAGACCTCCTGGCTAATTAGCCGAAATCTCGGTCATGGCGCCCACAAAAATCTAAAGTCGAAAACTCCTCGAAAATGTCAGTCCCAACACGGTCTTCAGAGACCTCTTTCCCCTCTCGCTTCACATCTCAGCCGCCTTTCCTTACTCAAGATTTATAACCCCATTGGAGCATCAGTCCCCCATAAACTAAGTCCCTAACTTTGTACATTATGACTTAATTTCCTCCTTGCGGGTATACGTAGCGTCGTAAATTTGTAGTGAGTGATGGCCAGCGATGAACGAGGCAAGCTCCTGTTTGCAATTGGGGTGACGCCTATTTTGGTCGGCGAGGCGAGATGATATGTGGTTAGATCGGGGTTGAGGACTCAGAAAATAATGGTGAGTGTTGCATGATTGAGAAGTCGTCAAATGGAGATTACAATTGTTTGCTTTCGACTTCGATTCGGATGCGATTCTTCTTGGCTATCCCAGGTATGCAGAGCATACTGAGTGATTACACCGGCACCACTGGAAGGTGAAGAATTCGTCTTTGCCGGCTCCTCTTCTCGTGATTCCTTCACATTATTTTTATTTTATATATTTATTTATTTATCTTTATTTAACTTCTGGCGGATCACGCGTCAAGCGAGTAACCCTATTAAGTCCCTACTGAGACAAAAGACGCCAGGATTTAATCTCTGGGCTTCTACATGTTTTAAAGGAAAGCAAAAAAACAAAATTAAACTATTTAACATATAAAGGAGGTGCATTCACATAGTTACTTCCCGCAGTTTTTTAGGCTCTTATTTGTGATGGTAAGATACTTTCTCGGCGCCATTCTCTGCGCAGGTCAACCCACACTCCCTGTTGACCTCCACTACCGGAAAAATAAATTAGAAAAAAAAAAGGAGTCTAAATTGCTTATCTTCCTTCCATCGTTTGCTGGTTTTTCGCGACACTTGAAACCTCAAGATTTGGGCAGATATCTGTGAAGAATCGGGTTTCCTGTAGCCATTCTCCAAATCTTTGACCTCCTTCATATGTGCCAAGAATGAACGGGATCATTTCCGAAGGCGGACCCTGCATTAGTCGTGATCTTCTTTTCGCTATATGACAGAAAAAGCAATGTAGTGGGGCCTTACGACGGCCACATCGGCAGTAATTTGATGCATTTTCATGATTGAATCGCTCGTGATAGTCAGCGAAGTCGCCGTGCCCAGATCTAGCTGCTAGAATTCGACCTAGAGTGGCGCGCGGAAGGGCAAGTTCTTTTGGCCTAGTGGGTGCTGATATTATTCCTAGCTTTTCGTAGCCTAGGTGCTGGGTGTCAGGCGCAGGTTCACTAGGCGCAGGACTCGAGGCGTAGGAGAGGGCGTAGCGTAGGATGTACTGAGGAAGGACGCCTCGTGGTAACGCGGAGGGCTTTCTAGAGAAGTGGTAAAAGGGAAAGCGGGGAGTCGTTCTAGATAGAGGGGCCGGAGGTGACAGTAGGTCACCATGTTTGGCAGAGGACGAGAGTGAGATGTGATTAGAATAATGTAACTATTCCTAAAGACAGAAAACAAAGCGTGAAGATATCAGACTCGGAAATGGAAACTACATAGGTGCCCTCGCTAAGCAATAAAGACTAGTGGGATTAAATAAGGAACCCATAAATCCTGCCTGAGGGATTTCTCAAGAATCCTTACACTGGGGAAGGAGATTTCTCCATAGGTTGCGAGAGGCTTGCGTTGTTGACTCTTTTGCCCAGCGCTTTAGCCCCGCATATGTGAAAGCGAGGTCATCTGGAGTTGGTAACTGGCAGCCATCTTTCGCTGCTTTGTCCGCAGCTTCATTTCCAACTATCGATGCGTGACTCGGAACCCATCGGACCCGGATTTGGCCCCGTCTAGTGTGGGCCAGCCGAGAGCGGTCTTGCCATTTGGGATTTAAGGTGAGGAACTCGTCAAATTGCGCTTGTGAGGACCCTGAAAAGGGGAATAACAGTCGAGTGGCAACTTCCAGATTATCTAGACAAATCCATAGATCTGTCGCGAATTTGGCAGTTGGGAGTGCTAGTGCGGACTTTGCCCCCTCTAGGGCACCTTTTACTTCCGCATCGAAAACTTCGACGCCTTTTCCAAGGGCAAGACTTTGATGCAAGACTTGTACGCCTCCTTGGTATCCGATGAAGCCAGCGCCGCTCAAGCCGTTTAGTTGCTTAGAGCCATCTGAGTAGATAATGATGTCTCCGAAGGGGATGGTCGTAAGAAAGTCAAGGAAGGACTGTTTGTTTTCCTCTGTAGTGGTACTGTTCGGTCCAGCCACCCATGATTGTGCAGCTTCACAGCTCTCACGTGGATTCCAAGGAGGAATAGCGATTGCATTGATTTGCTCTGATCTGGGGAGTGAAAGTACACGTCGGGCAAATCGAGAGGTAGCACGCTGTGAGCTGAGAACTCTGTTAGCACGGCGTAAGAGCGGGTGTCGAGGATCCAGACGGCGTAGTCGGACGGTGGCTGCAAGTGCACGGCCATCAAGGGCTATTTCCGGCTGCTGTAGCCCTGATTCGCGATGAAGTATCGCTGTTGGTGTGGTGCGATACACTGGAAGTGTCGCGCGGGCAGAGGCAAGTACGACCTTGGAGAGCTGTTGTAGTAGGGAATCTAC